GGCGCCAGGTCTTAACGACATGATCAACTTTCGCTGTTTTCTCTGAACAATGCATACACCGAACATAATGCTTTCTGCTTCAATAGTCGAAGCCTTTATATTTATATTCAGATTACATATTGTTATTTTCGAGTACAACTGGTCACTCTTGTGATATATATTTTACTGTTTGTAAACTGACTATTCAATTTTTGATTTATATATTTTTGAACTATATAGGGGACCCCCTATGGCTCTGTTTGTCATCATGGTAGAATTTTGAACGGGCTGTTCAATTATGGGGCTCCACCAGGGGCTGTTGCCCCAGGTGGGTTGTGCAGTATAACCACTCTATCTCATATCTTTCCAACCTCACGTTATGCTGTTTTCGTTTTCACATATTTTTCTGTGACTCTGACAACTACGATGTCAGCTATAACACCAGAAATTACTCCCAAACCCTTGTGTGACCCCATGAATAACCCGTTCAAATTGCCTCCTTTTTAAACATCAAGTCCGTATGGACATAGATGACTGTTATAAGGTTATTTCTGTATCATTTTTTTACTTATGATTATAGACCGAAAAGGGTCCCAGAAATGTCATTTAAGGCCCTACAGGTGCCATTATGCTACATTGAAGTATATGTAACATTCAAAGTATATCTTGTTGAAAAATGACATGGCCGGCTGATTGCTTGATATCTGGCAACCAATTAGCCTCATTAATCGGCTATTTATTACATCCATACAAGACTTAGAGCACACACCCCTCTGAAGAAGCCCCTGAGTGGGGAGGAAACGCGTCAGGGTTATGTGTGCCAACAACTTCCCTGGACACTCATCAAAGCTCATCCCGCACATCAGCCGCGGCAGTATCACTGTTAGCCCGGGCTTTGACGGTGCGGAGACGGAGCTCAGTCGGCCGGGATTTGATTAGAGTCCAGCCTGCATCGGAATCCCCAACTCATCCAGCAGAGTCTGAGTGAAACGACCGGACGACAGCTTGCTGTATTTTGCACAATCATCGTACTGGGAACCGTCTACCTTTGAGACCCCTGCATATACCTTTTTGCTTTATTGTGCGGCCGCACACATCTACACGGAAATGCTTTTGGGTTAGCTCTCAAATTTGAAATTCGAGCCCGAGGGCCAGCGAGAGCCCCAAGCAAGGGAAAAGGCAAGGGCACTTGCATCTCTAGCCCTGCCTATCTATCTCCATCTCCGGATCCCAATTACCTATTGAAGCAAACACATCATCCAGCTTTGTGGAACTCGAGCAGGACTGTCTCTCCCTGAGCTCCCTGAGCAACATGAGTTGTGAGTAACCTGGGATACATTGTACCCGTACATGAGATATTTATATAGTATGTGGCAACTCTTTATTACCACATTAGCTGGAGTGCAGACCACCCATGCTTCTTATATTTGTTACCCTAGGGAAGTTTTTTAACTGTTTTTAAATGTCTTGTTGTGGATGTATTGTTTAAATTTTTCTATGATTAAATATTCAAACTGTTAAATCACGTATTTTCTACCTGTTTACTGAACCAGCTCCGAGTAAGGGATTTCTATTTTCTTGGGGACACCTTATATCTTTACTATCAATGTTAATGCATCTTTTCCACATGAACACAGGTCTATATGTCTGTAGAAGATGCAGAAGTGACGCATGTAAAAAGAAAACGTTCCAATCGTTCTCATGGATCAGTAATAAAGGCAATTACAACCTTTAACTGACTTTGATGCTGCAGCTGGAAGAGGAAGCAACTGATTATCCTGTAACCAACTACACTGGTCTCCTGGTACATTTTCTTAAAGAAGAACTCGGGAGAAAATTTTCATAAAATTTTTTTATATATTAACTGCTCGTTCTGGTGTAGGGAGGAAAATAAAACAAGTTACTCACCCGATCCTCAGAGCTGGCTTGCTGTTAGATCGGTCCCTGGAGCCTCGCTCCCCTTCCACTGCAGCAGTCTAAGGTCTCCGAGTCATCACGTTCTACACACAGTGTATAGGACGTGAGGACGCCGAGAGACATACCATTGCTACAGGCAGGAGTGAGCGGTGTCACAGCCGGCCATCTCCAAGGACCGGGTAAGTATAACCGTTATTCTCCTCCCTAGACCAAACGAACAGTTACCACTTACAGTACAGGGGTAGCCCCACTGAATCCTCAGAGAAATGTTGTGTTTATTCTCAAAGTATGCCAAACCTCCGTACATCAAACTCCACAAAGAGACCCTTTCCACATTAATAAGGTGTCTGAGAGGTTGAAAGAAGTAGAAGGCTATCACCAAAGACTTCATCAGTCCTTTTAAGATAAAATCAACAAATACAACCATTCGACACTCTTATCTAGTCTCCTTATAATGGTGAGCAAAAGATCTACAGTCCGGGACCCAACACCTTCACTGAACAGAGGAAACTACTACTGCATCACTAGAGCAGATTCTGGTCCAGCTGTGGCTGAGCTCTGATGAAGGGGGCGTGCCCCTGAAACGCGTAAGCACTAAACTGCATCACTGGCGGGTCCAGTGACAGTGGATCACTCGGTTTGGTTATGCTGTCAAATGCAGGAAAAGATCTTAGAGGGCTGGAGTGATGTTGTTTATGCCCATGCCCTCATGTTTGTAAAGTACCATTAGCCATTTTTAATTTTCTTACATGTTACACAAGGAGGAGGCACCTTTTTTTGTTTTTCATATTTGCTTCAACACCCCCTGGATGTGGTTGAGAGGGCTGCCCCCAAGTGGAGTTTGGATTGAGGATACAACAGTGTGACATCAGCGCCGGTTTTATCTGTTTGGTTTGAAGATTCTGGTCTACCTCAGTCACACTGAGAAGGTGTCGCTCCTGAGCTCCTAATTCTGTACAGCTTTCTCAGGTCTGACTATAAGGGGCATAGGAAGCATACTTTATTTTAGAGGTAAAAGGATATTTGTTATAAAATTGCTTGAGAAATTTAAATGATACAGAATGGGACGTATGAGCAGCCAAAAGGACAATAGGCAGTAGAGCAGCACAGTGGCCTAGTGGTTAGCGCTTCTGCCTTGCAGCACTGGGGGTCCCTGATTTGAATCCCAGCCAGGACACTATTGGCAAAGGAGTTTGCATGTTCTCCCTGTGCTTGCGTGGGTTTCCTCCAGGTACTCCATAGACATGCTGGTAGGTTAATTGGCTCCTGTCTAAATTGGCCCTTGTGTGTATGCATGTGAGATAGAGGCCTTAGATTGTTAGCTCCAAGTGCAGGAACTGATGTGAATGTGCACTATGTAAAGCACTGTGTAATTGTTGGTGCTATATAAATACCTGTAATAAATAAATGTCAGGTTGTCTTACCTCCTGTTTGAGATGGGTGCTAATAACAGACACTCAAAAACTGTCATGTGCCAACATTGGTGCCCTCAGAACTACATGAAAGAAATCTAATATGCTTTGTTCGGACAGTTGGATGCTCCTCGAGCAGCCTGTTAATCATCAGCCTCAACATAGAACCCTAACCTTGAGACTCCCCAAAACTCACGTTTTTTAATTAAAAATCAGTACATTATTTTTTTCCTGCAGCCTTCTAGACGGTCTGATGATATCATCATTAATTTCTCTTTTTTTCTCCGGCAGTGGTGCGGGGCAGGCATTCTTCCAGGACTGAGGGGTGCTCGTGTAAGGATGTGCCAGTGTGACTCAGTCCTGGAGTACTGTGAGCCCAGTCTACAAGATAACATGACCCCTAGGAAGAGGTCTGCCGACGCTGGACAAAAGAGGAAGTTGGGGACAAGGCTGTAGCATGGAGAAGGTAAGCAAATCAGCACGATTTTATTTATTTTAGTGGGGGGGTATATTGGGGTGTTACTTTAAGCTGAAGCAGGAAAAAGGTCAGCCTCTATGGGGGTACATACAGCTTGACATTGGGCTGACATTAGAGCTCTAAAAGGGAACAAATATAAGGAAATAACTAATGCATGCATCCTTAAGAAAATATTAAAGGATATAAAAACGGTGACTATTTATGTTCTTTCAAATCCCCAAGAGTGGTTCTGTTTAATGACAGGCAGCTACTAATAGCCCGCAAAAAAAGGATTAAGCTGGACATACCTGCAGGCTGAGTGAAGAAATTAGAACACATTCCCCAATCAACACTTACAAGTGTTGATCGAGCAATCTCCCGCTGTGTTCACTGTATTCTGACAGCAGCCGTCAGCCGCTGTCAGAATGCCCGAGCAGAGCCAGAAGCTGATTGGCTGCCCGCACTATTCATTCGAAGATTTTCCAACCGGCTCTTCCATCAGCTGATCGAAGGATGCCAGCCGGAAAGGTTGCTGGCAGCAGCACCCACTGTGCGAATTTCAGTCGGTTCATCAAAAAATGGCCAAAATTTGCAGTGTGTATGTCCAACTTAACGATAATCAAGTCCAGATAAAGACTGTAAATAGAGAATCTACATTTCAGGCTGTGTTGGAGAAAAGAAAACATTCAATGACATAGAAAGCAACACTCACGGAGACAAGCCAGACAGAATGGAACCAATAGACCTCTTGTATAAAAGGCACAGCAGAGTTGCTGACCTTGGCAGCCAGCTTCATCTTTTCATCTTCTAATGAATAGTGACACCTTCTCTTTTCTTTCTAGTTTCTCACAAACCTAAATAGTGCTTTGTTTTTATGTAACGAGCAGAAAATTGGCAACCTGTAGTGATCGGAGGCAGATTTTCACAGTAGCTTTTTTGAAAGATGTTTTTATTTTTCCATAGCTTTATTATTGATGTTTTCAACAGGTTTCCACCCTCCTGCTTTCCCCTGCCCACGTTTTTACTGTTTATACAGCATATTGATTGAAAATTCATCAATGTTAACAAGGAAAATAAAATTAAAAAAACTTTTGTTAAGGTTTGCAAATGAGATTTTTTTTTTTTTTTAAATAAATGTTTATTATGTTGTATTTTTTTAAAGTAGCATATGGGGGCAAAGGCTCATGTATTAAACATTTGTATTTTTTTTTCAAACCAACTGACTGGAATTTTACCTCTGAGCGAATGCCTCAAGAATCCACGCAGCAATGCTTGTTCCTGGAGGGCCGTGGAGTTGGCATCCCTTTCCACTGCGCTCTCATCATACATCTTTTTCCTAAACAGAAGAACTGCATAAGCTGGGAGGTAACTTTACTATGATATTAATAAGTACAGAGAACAATTCCTTTTCACTGCTCTGTGTCAGGAAAACTGCTGAAAGAATACCCAACACACCCAGCGAACATTTCACTAAAACAGCAATGGCTCATTCCGACCTATCAAGTCTCATAGTTACATAGTATTTGAGGTTGAAGAAAGACACAAGTCCAACCTAAAGCAAGGAGATGGCTCATGAGGTGCTTAAGCACACGTTATGTCCTGCATTAATACAAGTTGTGTTAAGGCAGCCTAGCCATTTAAAAGGGGCTGTCAACGCACCACAACAGTCCCAAAATCACACCTGCACCATAGGACTTTATCATGCGTGGCAATGCAGACGTGTCTATTTAACATGAATGGCACTGCAATGCAGTAATGTGTTCAAGGAACGTTACTGTGATTTCAAAAAGGGAGGTTTTGGGAGTTTTTAATTGCGTTTCAGCGCTGAAACGCAATTAAAAACGTCCGAAACCAGGCTGATCAGCGCAGTTCCATTGAAAGCTGTATGGAAATCAGACTGATCAGCGCGGCAAAAATAGTGCAGGGAGCAATTCGGGCTGGGGGCGGTTCGGATCACGCTGAGCCGCGTGGTCGCATGAATGGTCCCCATAGCAATGTATGGGATCGTACATGTCGCCGGATCCGAGCGGCCGAACCGCCCCGGTGTTAATGGGGCCTTAAAGTCCTTATCTGCTTATTTGTTCTGAGTCAGTAACAAAGAAGCATTGAAGCAAGGAGATGAGCATGATTGCCAGGTAAGTAGCATTCTTAGAAGGAAAGCTCAGCAATGGCTCCCTCCATGTTTCTCTTATTACAGTCTCCTCAACATTTATAGGCAGGTAAATGCTTCAGATGGTTGAACCAGTGTAGTTATGTTCACTAGTAGCCACAAAACTGGCAGGATGCACAGCAGATGCACGCAAGTATTCATATCTGACCTCCAGGGGGTGGCCAGGGTGTTGAAAATCACCATAGCAATAGGTAAAAAACCGGCATTCGCAAGGGGATCCGTCCATCCAGTACTTTATTTGTAATAAGGTATAACAGCAGCAAACAAACAAATGCTTTCATGTTTCAGCCCCCACACTGGGCCTTAGTCACTATAGTGTGCTACATACAGTACAATGATAGCTGGTCTCTTCCAACGCTTCCCCTCTGCACACTGAACTCACTGGGCACCACCGCCATTTAGTTAATTTTTTTCAATGAACACAGCAGGGCATTCTCTGAATGGATGAGGTGCAGATGAGGGGGTGTATGACATCACGATCTCCACCTTGCTCAACCAGAGAATGAGTCTTGTATTCACCGAGACTAAAACAAGGAGTTCTCTCAATGGCAGCAGTACTGAGCAAGCAACTCCTTGTGCTCAGTGTACAGCGGGGAAGCCACTGAAATCGCAGCCAGAAAGATCATGGCTATCCCTGAATGTAGCACAAACTACTGCAATGATTTGTAGAATCCCCAGCGGCCTCTGGATATCATATCTGGACCAATATAAGTAGCCAGAAAAGATCATTGTGGGAGTTCAGCTTTAAAATAAAAATGTCAGGACAAAAAACACCCCTGAATTTTTAGGTTCAATAAGTATTTATTGAACTATACACGCAACAAAAGTACATGAGACAGAAATGAGAATATAGAAATTGCCATAAAAATGGGCTTGTATACCAACAAAAGAAATGTTGCAGTGTCCAAGGTTCTACAAGAGCTATCACCGTCCATTAAGCATGCGCACTAAGGGCTTGTTCACACCATGTCCGGACCAGATCTGCAAACGCAGTGCAGTGCATTTTTGCCGCGTTACGGTGCAGTTTTTTTCCTTAAACTTAAAATGGCCTTTCGGGTGTAGTCCAGTGCGTTTGAATGCCTTTTTGATGTGTTCTGGACAGGAGAAAATTAGACGAGCAGTATTTGTGTCTGGACTGGAACGGGCTGCGCTGATGTGAACAGCACCCAGAAATACCATAGGGAGATACGCTGGGATGCTTTCTTGGTCCAGGAGCAAACTGTTCTGGTCTGGACATGGTCCTGGATGGTGTGAACAAGCCCTCATTCTGTAAGTGAAGGTGTTTTATAATAGAAAACTAAAATAGGTAGATACATTTAGAATATGCCAAGGTGCACATGAACATCAGAAAGCAGTTCAACCAACACTACTGGATCAATGTCAAGAAGTGATAAGTGGATTAGAAAAGAGAAAGATGAAAAAGTGAGGAAAGAGGAGAGAAGAGAACTGAAGCAGAGGAAAGGAAGGAGAAGAGAGGAAGCTACAGAAGTTGGAGAGAAGGGAGACAGAAAAACAAGAAACAGAAAAAGGATAAGGGGATGGAGAATGGAAAGGGCTGGGATTCGTGTCAGTTAAGATGAGCGAGAAAAAGCAGATACTGTACCCTACACGTTGCCAACATCTCCAGAAAAACTGCCATGGAGTGAAAGAAAGACCAGCATGTCCAAATACAAAAGAAATGGCCCGTGCTGCCCAGATCCCTGGCCACTAGCTCTTCTATGTGCATTAAATCATTCAGAATTTCAGCCCAAGACGCCACAGAAGGAAGAGTAGAAGATTTCCAATGCCTAGAAAGCGCAGTACGAGCCACTATCAGACAATGGCTTAGGACACCCTTTTTAAGGGACCGAATGGGGTCAGAGATCCCACACCACCACTGGTGTTGCCATAAGATTGGTGGGAAAGACACATTTATAAAAAGTGGACACCCCAAAGTTCTCATTTTTTGCCAGAATTTCTTTTGGGAAATAAAGATTAAATGTGTAGGGGGGAGTGAAGGTGAGAAGGTTAACAAAAAAGATCCCAGAGTCAGTGACAATGAATGAATGCTACTGATCCATTAATTAATTTCCAATGTATGGATTACTACCATTTCCTCTTTTTCCTCCATTGTAAGTGGAAGGAGAGGGAATAACAATGTAAACAGTAGTATGTGGCCGTTGTGATTGGATATCATAGCAATCACATTCTACAGAGCCACTCCGATTGTCTCTACCTTTCCCCTGCGTACGGAGCCTTCCGGCAAGGGATCGCTGCACAGCAGTTAGCGGGCACAAGAGTCATTCAAAGGCTATTCCTACAGCGGTTTTTATAAACGGAGATGGGTAAATAACAGTTTACCCCTCTGCCATTTGTAAGCGTACTGCGGTGGAAAGGTTAAATCAGTTTAGAGATACCTAGGTGGTAGCCTGCCCTTCTTAACTAGGTGGGTAGCATGCCCTTCTTACCTAGGTGGGTAGCATGCCCTTCTTACCTAGGTGGGTAGCATGCCCTTCTTACCATCTTGTCTTGATTTGTATTGTAACTGTAATGTCTTCCTTATATTGTAAAGTGCTGTACAAACTGTTGGCGCTATATAAATCCTGTAGAAGAATAATAATTATAATTTTGTGAACCCTTACACAGGGTAGAACACAGAAGGCCTGGAAATTTGTAAGTAGTGCTGTGAAGTGCATTTGTGATGAAATCACCATATTGGAAGACATGTACTACACCTTTTTGGGAATATCTTCGGTCAGGCATTACACCCATCACAGTGATGGGCAAGAAGTCTAGTAGAGGGCTTCCAAATGCATTTCGTAAATGTCAGTATGTTGGTGGATATACTAAGACCCAGAAAAGTACCTGTTTGCCTAACCTGTTGTGTCCCAGCTGTAGTTCAATGACTCATATTTACCTGACAGTCACTGACCACCACTGGCTGTCTAACAATCCTTACAAATGAATGATTGCTGGTAACTACTCTCACAATCTGTTTCATCTATTTATCGGAGACACAGTTCTGCTTATTATTCAAGTGAGTCGCTTTCAAATGTGTAATTCCCAGTGGGGATGTAAATACTCTGAATAAGGATAGAATGAAATGTTCTGCTTTTAAAAAATCTACTATTTCTACAAATGCCACTAGCGTGACTGATTTCATTCTGTAGTCCTGTTTCATCTCTGCCATTTCTCCCTCATCTCAAGCTTCTTGCAGAGGATGTAAAACTTCATTTAAAGGGACACTGAAGTGTATATTCTGCCCTGAATGAGCAAAGCGTCAGTTGGCTTTATAGCTGAACTCCGGTCAGAAAAGTAAAACCATTTTAATAAAAGATATGTCATACCTTTCATAGATATGTGCTTCTTTATTGAAGCTGTCAGAGAAATCGCTGTACGATCCTTGTATTTACAGGACTCACTGTCCCTGATTTACAGTTAGCAAGACTGGTGACCGCTTGTGAAACAGCTCCTGTGTACTTTTACTAAATGAGCCACAGCATGATTACATTTCACTGCCGTGGAAGGGCACGGGCTGCTCAGACTTCCTGTCTGTATCCACCACTATGAGTTACTGTGATTGACAGGTCATGTGGCAGAAACACAAGGCTAAGAGTTACATGTCAGTGACTGCCCACAATCCCACCCACTTCCAGCAATAGTCCAATTGCATGATGGGACTTGTTCATGAAGTGCTGCATATGATGCCGCCACATCAGGGAGCCCACCCCCAAGTGCCTGGATATAGCTGCAATTTACTCAGACGTCACATCACTTTCGAAATTGCATTTCTGCAAAAAATAAATACATTGGTAAAATCGGTAAACAAATGTTAATCTTTGTTGTGCTTATGGAGGGGGAAGTATTGGGCATAGTTTTTAAGTATCCTGGAGTTCAGCTGTAAAGTATCTTTTGACAGAGACAGATTAAGGCAGTAAACCAAAAAAGATAGCAGTTTTGCCCCCTCATCCCTTTGCTAGATATTGATAAATATTGCCATAGGTACGGAGAATTGTGCACGCAGCATTTTTTGCAGATCGTACTGGACCGGCATGCAGGCACTACATGTGCCACGCTTTCGGGTGCCAGCGATCACACTGCAGGCGGGCGTGGCTGCGGTGTCATTGACTTCAATGCACCGCTACTCCCGCACCAAAGCAAAGTGAGCCGGCCGGTTTGCATTCCAGAGGCCGAACCCATTGGAACGCACTCTTTATGGTGTGACTGGGCCCTCAGGGACTACAGGGAGGAGGTTCAGCAGTTCAGGTGAATATA